CCCCCCCCCCTCCGTAGTGGAGCCTGGAAAAGAATCTGGAGTCCCGAAATACATATTTCTCAACTCATTTTTCGTGTCACGAAAACCCTAAAGAAACATCACACGCTTGATGTTAGGGCTCGGAGGGTGCGTGAGGACGATCCTTAAGAGGAAACTGAAGTCAGACCGGGTTATAATCACACATCTACCCCATAGCTCTCTCTCCATGTTACTTTCCCTTCATTTTCTGCTGTTTTCCCTAGCGGACCCCGTGTCAGATCGGTGCTATTATTAGAGACCACGTGGGCAGGGATTTAATGGCCCGGCTTTGTCGTTTAAAGTCGTGTTTAGAGAAATGGTTGGGAAACGTGAAATCGAAGTGTTGAAATGAAGACCGAAAAATATGCTGCTGGAAACGGATCCTGGGGCACGGGATCCACCCCCCCGTCTAATCATGTATACATTCGCTCGAGGGAAGACTTGTCCTAGGAGATTTGGAAGACTGCTGTTGCTGGCTGCAGGATTCACACGAGCTGTTGCTTCCCCGAATGGACACACATGAGTTTTGCCAAAATCTTTTGTGTGCCTGAAGCTTTGGGGATGTTTAGGCCTGTAGCTGTTGTTGCACTTTGGATGGAAGCACAGGAAACACGGTTCGGTTGTATTTCCTCGCCGTATGCCTGATTGACTTTACTGTTAACCAAATTCACTGAGGCAGCAAGCAGACTTTAAAGCTCTCAGACTCCACATGAGGTTAAAACCAGGTAGCTAAATAGTTACTTAGTTACCTTCGGCGCATTTAGCCTGTTTTAAGAAGACAGTCACTGCTCGTGGCTGGGGAAGGATTTGTGTGGTTAGCCCCGAGTCAGGGCGGCTGCGCATCCTACTTTCAAGAGTTTTGAGACAGACGCTTCATTCAAGGGGGATCTGAAGAGTGAGTAATCATCATCATCTAAACCAGGGGTAGGCAATCCCTGGCACAGGTGCATGAAGGCATTTTGCTTGGCACATATGGTTCAGGGTGGACAGCGGGACAGCGGGAAAAAGGATGAGGCTGCATTGCCACAACCAGGATCAGACCCCTCGCAGCTCCCCCGCTGTCATCCGCTGGCACAGCAACATCTTACAAGTCGAGGTTGTGGGTGTTTGGGGCGCTCTGCCCAAAAACATTGCTGACCCCTGATCTAAACCGATCACATTGAAATGACCTTGGGTTCCCTGCCACTGGCACACTCCTGGCACATCTGCAGAGCCGGCAAACATAATGCAGCGTGCACACAAGTGGGAACGTGTACGCGTGTGTGTGTACGCGTGTGTGTGTAACAGTGAGAGAGATGACTAATGCACGCAGGTGGAAGAGAACTGCTAATGCTACTGCTTGTTGAACTGTCTGGGTAAGAGTAAGAGCGCACGGTGCATGTGTGAGAGGAGTATGTGTTCGTGTGTTCAGAGAGATGGAAAGATGCGTGGCTGCAGACGTGTGCCTGTGTGTAAGAGGGGATATGCGCTACATTACGTGCGAGGGGGCTGATTGTGCGTGTGTTCGTGCGGAAGGGAGAAAAGGTGCGAGAGAGGCAGAGATGTGTATGCCATGAGCGTTAGAGAGATGCTTGCTGTGGGTGAGAAAGAGGGAGATCGTGCGCGCGTGTGTTTCCTTCACACCTTGACACAAAACGCACCCGGCTGGTTGTTCGTTTCTAGAGGGAGATGAACGCCCTCCCTCTAGCACTGCCCTTGAATTTCCTTCCAAGCCCACAAGGTTTGCATTGCATTGGACCCTTTTCTCCCACGAATTTCATCGCACTGTTCCTTTACACAGGCCCCGCGCCAGCACCGCGCTCTGCCCCGCCGCAGCTGCGGGGTTACCGGGACTGGAGGGGAGCGGACCCAGCCCTTGGCCGCGCTGTGCGGAGCCGGACTCGTGCCCTGCATCTCCCCCGCCCCGGGCCGCGCAGGAATGCTGGAAATGCACCGCTCAGCCCCCAGCTCCCTTCCATCAAACGCTTGACACCGGCTCTGGGCGGCTGTCAGCCACCACCCTGCTCTCAAGTCCATTTAACTGAAGTCCTAGTAACTTTATTCCCATTCAGTTCCAGGGGTTGTTCCCCTCCCCCCATCCATGCTCTGACTTTCTATTTCATTTGACAATCAACATTAACAAGAGATTGCCAAGAAAGCAGCGCCCCTGCCCATTCGCGCCGCGGGCAGGCGGCTGCGCACTGTGCTGGCACAGCCTTTTGTTGCAATCATGATGCGCGGAGCTGGCAAGAACCACGTGGGTTTCCCTCAAATCAAAGCAGAGCCAAGCGGAGGAGCTCAGTGCTGACTGCACGTGAAGTGCTTCATGCTGCTTGCCCTAAAGGGATCGGGCTACCTCCAGCCCTTCCCCGTGGGGAGCGGGGAACAGCCAGCGGAGTGCCCCTGCCCCCTGCTCGCCGAGGTACTTACATGTCCGAATGGGTCAAGGTGGTTGTTGGTGAGCTTGAGTTTTTGGAAAGAAACCAACTGTCTCATCCAGTGAGCCCCGGTGGCTGGTGAATCTGGGTGGACGTACAGTCTGCCTGGCATGGCAGGCTCTGCCTTCCCTGTCACTGACCTGAACCAAAGGGACACAAAGCCAGCTTAGCCTCAGGACCCAAAGCAGGATTATACCGCACCAGCTCCAGGCATCAGAGGCCATGCAGCGTGCGAGGGTGCAACACGGAGAGAACAGGCTTAGAGCGGTTGTTCTGTCTATTCACCTACCCACCCACCCATCTATGTATGTATGTATGTGTCTATCTGTGTATCTATCAATCCATCTATCCGTCCAGTCCTTGTCTGCCCATCCCTCCCTCTGGCCATCCAAGTTCTTTCATCCATTTCCCTGCATTTGCGGAGGAAGTGTGCGCTGGACGGCCAGGTCATATTTTAGGGGAAGGAGACATTTGCAAACACAAACTGCTCTGGAAATTAATTGAGATCTTTGGCAAATTTCCCGTCGGATCTCTGCGCCTCTCTCTCTCTCTTTTTTCTATTTAACCCCATCCTCCCTCCTTCCTAATTAGCGGGGAGCCAAGAGAGGACCATGTGGTAACTCTTAACATTCACCAGTCCTGGCCATTTTTCTCCCCTGAACACAATTAAGTTGTTGGGCCCACCATAACCAATAATCTGGTCGTCAAACAGGATTAAAGTTAGTGTTAGCTAATTAAAATCGATTTTCTTTCCTGGTCCTCTGTCGAGGAGTCTGGCAAATTGGAACCATCTTGAGATAGTCGGTTGAACTCCTTCAAACTTTTTTCCAACTCCTTGTAGCTCTTAATAGGACAAGCCGACGGCTCAACTGCATTTTACAACCCCTTTAAACTAGATTTTGCTCACTGTACAGGCCAGTCACAAAGTTTTTTCTTCTCCCCTCCCCCTAGGCATGCATGCATACCATTTATTATCTGCGAATTTGTATCTGTGGTCATCAGCTGGTACAATATCCATCAGCAGTATGTACTTAGTTTTTGGATTGAGTCCAGTGACCTTCACTTTGTAACTGGGGAACATACGCCTGTAAAAAAACAAATATAAATACAGGGGAAGTTACAAAAGGGTTTCCAAACTAAAACATTTGCGAAGGAATTATACGAGGGGATAATTCACCCATATTAACCTACAGAGCCACAGACACGCACACACCCCTCCAAAAATATACACAGAAGACGAAACTTTCCCTTGATCTTGTTTGATTTTGGTGCTTCTGGGCATTGTTCCGCTGCTATAGCTCCTATCTAAAGCAAAATAATTAATGTATGGAGAGGTGATTGTAGTTACAGGATTTTGATTGCTTGTTTGCCTCTAATCATTCCAATAGTTGAACTCTTCATTCGTTTACTAAACAGCAGCATGTAATATATTCCTTACTTTACAGGAATATTAATATACTGATAGCACTCCACAAAGTGCCTTACATGCCATTGTATAAAGGATGGTGTTTACTAAATGCTGACTTTTTCATAAAAGGCATACTGTATATTCATAAATGCATATGTATGTGTGTAAGTATGTATAAACGTTGTATGTATAACACTTGTGTGTACATATATGAACGGTTATACACGCAAAAGTGACACGCTTGACCAATTCTTTGAAACATTCAAACACACGCTTGAAGGGGAAAAAAGAGTTCAGAAATATTTTCCATTACAAGTTAGTGACCTTAAGCGTTAATGTTATTTTAGCTTGATCTTCCAAATGTTTAAAAATGAGCTTATGGACTTGTAGTCTTTCAATTAAAAACAAAACAGTCTAAATGTACTTATTTTTAAATGGCAGTTTCCTGCCTTTGCAATAGGAAATAAAGGCTATTTCTGAGTTCGAATTGTTTTGTGGTTTGAAAAACGAGGAGACAGGTAGAAAAATAATGAAAAATAGCAAAGATGACGTTTACTATGTTGGAGGAAAAGGGGGGGGGGGGGAATGAACCGAGCAATGAACCAGAACTATGTTCAGAAATATATCACGAACAGCGAAACAATGTATACCATCATAAACATTAAGCTTTATATAAATAAGTGAATGGCCTAGTTTATGCTATGTCGATACATGTAAACAGTAACACTCCTATTAAGACTCTTATTGTAAAGATCTTTTTTTATGGTTATACGTAAGAGATGCTCATCCGCGCCTGGGCTTTAATTTTTGTTTTGACTTTTAGGCAAGAGGTGTTATGTCTCTCTTCCTCCTCTCCTCTCTACAGTCCTATCAGCTGAAAGTAAAGCGATCCCTACATATTGAAAGGAATCAATGTGAGGATAATATCACCGCCCTGGATTCTACTTGGTCTTTTGCCTTCACCCAGTAGGATACGGAGTTTAGTCAACTTTGCTCTCTGCAAAGAGCTCTTCCTAATGGTTCTAAAATGCTTGAGCTCAGTGTTTATATCAGGCCTTTTTACTTGGGGAATACTCTTCTTTTTAAAGGACCCCGTCATTTCAATAATAGATATGGTCAAAGGGAAACCAATCGTTATACAAATCTATTTATCATCCAGTGCAAGGCTTTATATAGTAGATGGTTTTTTTTCCATCCAGTGTATGGGGTACCACCACCTACTGCCTGGCCGGACGGAATGAAGTTTGATTCTATGCTGTTGGTACGGAAAAACTGATTTCACTTTGGATATTCATCTTGAACTACTAGTATTTCTGTGAGTGCACACTTTCTCATCGTATATCCAATGTAGGAAATTACACTCACATTGTTTAATAAAAAAGAGCAATGGAAATAATATATTTCTGTTCCCCTGGTCTTGTTGATTGAGAATGGGCACAGGGCTAGATTTCACTGAGTCTCAGTGGTTGACCCATGCCTCAAATTTTATCTTAGTGGTCCTTTGGCTAAATGGGCTTCGTGATCCCGCACTGCAGGGTTACTGAGGCACATGCTAAACTGCACAACAGTCTCAAAAGAGATTTTTTTAGTTATTCGATTTATTAGGCCAGCTATGGCAATGATCATAAACACACACTCGCACACAGAATAAACTTAGATTTGCAAGCCTGCATACTACTATATACATCTGCATAAATAGTAGTTCAAGAACATGTATGCGTTTAATAGCCTAACTACGAGGAGCCTCTTGTCTCTGCCTGGGTGTGTATTTGCCTGTATCTGTTCGCAGAAGCAAAGCCTGGAAACAGACGAAAAAATGTTTCGAAATTTGCAGGCATTGAACTGCTCCTTTTGTGAAAAAAAAAAAAGCTAAATCGTCCAGGGACCTGCATGAAAGAGTATAACATTTTGGCCTACACTTTGCAACCAGCATGAGTCTGGAAAGACTCCAACGGACTGAAACTAGGATTAACGATAACACTGTCCTGGGTAAATAAGAAACCAAAAGAAACACATTTTTAAATCTATATACTTCAGTGGAGGCTTCTTTTTGTAAATCATCCAACCCCTCTTTCCTGCTCTTCTACTGAGTCTTTGGTCAAAATCATATAAGGCTCTACAGCTTCAAATACACCATCATCTGATTTTTAGGTCCTGGCTTGCTGTTTATTTTCATTCTATTTTGTGACAGAGCCTTGGTAACTTGTTTTATTGTCAGCAAACATTTATATTGGCTACAACCCGAAATGCTTTGTGACTCTCTCGGATTTGTGACACATAGCAATACACATGTGTCATACAATGCACACAAGCATAGTTCTATACATTCACATATAGATAAGGGGTGTTGTGACTCTCTCTCTCTCTCTCTATATATATATGCATATAGAGAGACCTAAAACATGCATATAGAGATAAATATGAATATACACATGGAGAAAAAGAGTTTGATTTTAATTTTTCCTCTCACATACATATGGACATACACATGCATATGTATTCACACACACAATCACACGAGTATGCACACACACGGCTATACATCTGTTGACATATACATCCGTGCATATTCCATTCATTCCATTTAAAAACACGTATATCCAGAAGCATCTGATCTCTCACTGAGTCCATTTCAGAATACACGAGCCGATGGTTTCGTTTTACTCCTACCTTCCAGCTTTGGTTATAATCATTTCGGTCCCCACTTCGTGAAATTTTAGCCATAGTTCTCGCTCGTGCAAAAACACCTTGATCCCTTCCATGCCCTGCAATGAGATCAATAAATACGTGTGTGAGTGGAGAGCCCAGAAGCCGCTGCCTGGGCTCCCCCGCTTCAAACGCCAGAGCAAGCCCAGAGAGGGAATGAACTTTGGCACGTCAGCACCGAGCGCTTCTGCTTTGTCTAGAGGCCTCCCTGACAGGACAGCGCCAGCCGGCAGCTCCCCGCCCGGCGGAGCTGGGAGGGAGAAGGAGACCCCGAGCCCGGCGATGTCTGGGGGCTGCTGCAAACCGAGCGCGACTTCTCGCTGCGCGCCTCGGGCCAGGCGCGAGTCATCGGGGCCTGAGTGGAGCGGGGCTTGCGAGGGGGATGGTCGTCTGCGGAACAGCCCCGATCTGCGGCCCAGGCACCGGCTGGGCCGATTCACACCGCGGAGCTCACTATGGATCCCGGGTGCTTGCAATGGGAGTGCTAGCACCGGTCGCTGGTGGCCACAGCTAGACCCTGCGTGCCTCGACCCGCTCCAGACTGCAGCACGAACCGAGGATCGGGCCCCCCAAATCTACTCCCCGTTGCAGAATAATCTATAGATACATACGCACGCACATATATACTCACACGCCTACGTACGTGTGTAGAAACGCACTATATAGACATTCATATTTGTATGCATGCACGTACACGCACACAGGCACACGTGTTTGTCAAAAGTAATTCTGGGCATGTGATGATCTTCAGATAGACATGTCTACTGCTTACCATGGTCCATATTCTATCTGTACACAGAATATACATATACGTACATGCCGACTAGACACACACGCGTGCATACATTTAGCTGGAAATGCTCCCCTGGCATTTCACGATCGTTTCAAAAGAAACCTTTCCAATTCTATATTCCCAGGAGGTGGGGTTTCCCTGTCCACTCCTCGGCACGGCGGCTTGAGGGGCAATGCTAGCGAGAGCGG